AAAAAAAAAAAAAAAAAAAAATTGTTTCGCAGACACCCTGCACGGTCCCTCAAACATGTTATCACTGATGCCATCATGCGGTCAAAGGATTGGATGACAGCAGCCACAGAGGACTATCTGGCAATTCCCTAATCATCATGGAATCCATGTGGCCGAGCAGCTAACGCAACATGTCACTTTGCAGCCACGTTTCACAACACGGAGCGGTGCCCAACGGTGCACTGAAAATTAAGTTAGTAATTATTATTATTATTATTATTATATTTTAATTTTAAATTATATAATAACAGATAATTTTTTTTATCATATAATTTTTATTTAAGTTTAATATCTTTTATTTTTAAGACCTTTGACTTTTAAAATAAAATTATTCTTAAATTATTTGAATTATTGATATTAAGTTAGTAATTATTGACTATATTTTTTTATAGTTTTTCTAATTCATATTTCTTTAGAAAGGGTTTAATAAAGTTGAAAAAGGACATATTTCAAACACCCTCTTAATGTGCAGATTAAGCGTGCTAGCTAATGTACATTTTTTTCTTTAAATAACACAAAAAAAGGGAAAAAAAAAATAAAAGCTGACTCTTTCTGTTTTCTCCTTTTAGTTCTTCCAATCTAGAGCTGCACAATTGAGGAGGTAAGTAAGAGAACTATTTTCTCTACCTCACAATAAGTTCTTATTTTACTTAAAATTTATCCTAAATTTTTCCTACTTAATAGTTTAAATTTTTTTTTTTTGTACATTGAAGTGTTAGCTATTTGGTATTGTAAAAATTTGAATATCTAATTTTAACTATCTAATTTTAACCTTAAATAAAAAATTTTGATATAGTGAGTATCAATTTGATCAAATTCTTATAGGTACTTTAACCCGTTGTAATCCCTTTATATAATTACTTATCATATCACAAAAATTCTCTTTTTGATTTGTGATCTCATTTTTAAGGATACTATAGGTAAATACTATCTTTGTTATCCTATTGTTTATTTAGTGTGTCTAAATTTAGTTATCCACTTTTTATTTGAAAGATATAATTTAATAATGCACTTATTTCTATTTTATCATTATTTTAAAAAATTAATTATGACACATATTATATGAAAAAGTATAAAATTTTATCAACTAACTGTTATATTCTTATTTTATTAAAAAAACTAAGCTAACTAAAGTTAAAGGACAAAGTATATATAGAGGGTGTTTAGTAAGTCATAAAAACACTATTAGAAAACTCAAAATCATTGACCCATAATCACCGATGTGAGAAGTTTTCTCGGGAAGCTATCCCCTTACTGACAAGATAAATGCTTGCAAATAAAGGAACAGTAAAAATAAGAGTAATCTATATTATTTAAGGTACAGACAAAATTTTTCTCGGTAAATTTGCATAATACACACATGCCCTTCATCGGTAATATGTTGCAATGTACGCTCCGGCAACAAGCGGACCAATAAACAAATCAACGACAAAGATCATGCCTGTAACTAATTCAATCTGCAACAGGATCCATCTTGGTGAATTTACCGACAAAGACTTCATCGGTGAATTTACCGACAAAGACTTCGTTGGTAAATTCGTAGTCCCCAACCCTCCCTAGTGAATCCAACTGTCAATGGTTGGGCTTGCAGCTTTTGGTACACTTACCAACAAAATTCTTGTTGGTAATTTCATATTGCCAACCATACACTTCTTGGTGATCACGTTGGTCAACCTGCATGCTGTAGCTTTGCAAAGAAGATTAGCTTTTAATGGTAGCAATGTGGTTTTCATCGATAAGGGTTACCTCTTACCACCCTAGACCATTTTGCCATTTCATTTTGGTCTTCCTCTTCAGGCATCTTGCTTTCCTTTCCTCTGTTCTTCCCTTCATATACATTCTTCTT